ATCAGTTTTATTTAGCAGATGATGCAATCTCATCTCCTTTTTTGGCTAATTCAATTACTTAATAAATATTTATTAAGAAGTTAGTAATATACTTCAGGTATTAAAATGATTTTTTAACTTGCTTTTTTCTTCTCTTGTATATCTGATCTTCTCACTCTCAAATTATTTTAAGGCTAGACTTTTACTATGTCTGTTATTTAATAAAGAATATACCTCACATTCTTTTTGGGTCAGGGTCTCACTATATAGGCCATGCTAACCTTGACTTTGAGTGCTCCCTGCCTCATGCTGGGATTAAAGGTATGTGCCTCCAGGACTTGATCAATATCTCACACCTTGAATGTCTTCCTGGTTCATCTTACATTTCAGAGGCTTGCTTTGCCTAGAATAATTTCTTTTTCTTTTTCCTGCATGACTGGGATTTTATTTTGGCTAATATATTCTCTTTATTCTTTTTCATCCTCTTTTGTACTTATTCTTTGAAAATGGTTTCCACTGTTTTTACTTCATTAAAAATATGAAATGATGACTTTACTTTTATCTCTTTTATCTTTGTGCTACTTTCCCCCAAATTCTTTAGATTCACAAGTTCTGTTCTTGTTGTTTTTGTTGTTGGTTACTCATTCTTAATTAAGTGAATAATTCCACTTAATTATTGGTGCTTAAAGTTGTGTTAGGGTGGATTCCCAGGACCCCGACTGAATGGTGAGAGAGCTTTATCACCTAGGACAAGGAGTACTCAGGAGTTTGAGGAAATGTTCTGCCACATCTACGTCCTAAACCCAGATCCCACAGAAATGGAGGTGCTTCTTCCTGCTGTGCAGTGTGGACATGCTCAGAGGGTACTATCTCTACCAGAGATGGAGGAGAACACTGCATCTGACTGGAGGAGGGCTCTTGGGACCACCAACTCCACATGAGTGATTGTCCCATCACCTATCTGAACCTGAAGACAAGGAAAAAAGTTGTGCACAGCATTTATCAACCCTGAGCTGCACTTGGAGTGCGCCCAAAGTATTACTAAACTTTATTATACTTTCAACTCTAATTATTTACATGAAGGTTTTTTAATGGTATTCATTACCTTTTCTTTCAAAATGCTTTATTTATTTTCTAAATTTTATGTGTATGAGTGCATTGCCTGTCTTCATGTAAATGCACCTGTGATGTGCAGTGCCTGCAGAGGTTAGGATAGGGTGTCAGATCCCCTGGAACTGGAGTTATGGAAGGTTGTTAGCCACCATGTGGATGCTGGGAACCGAACCCAGATCTTCTGCAAAAGCAGCCAAGGTTCTTGACCACTGAGCCATCTCTCCAGCCCAGATGTTTATTACTTTTCTTTTGAGATGATATCATATGTATTTTAGTGAGAGGAGGCTCCTATCACTTCAGTTTACTGTACTTACTAACATTCAAGGCATCACTTTGAGCATTAAATACATATATGATTATTATTATGATTTTTGGAAAAATTGTTAGCAAGAATGTTCTACCAAAAAAGCCTCCATCTTTGTTGATATTAGGAAAACATATATATTATTGTGATTATTTTATTTTCTTCATGGGAGAGGCTTCTGGTTACCTGCAATATTCTTTATCTCTTCCTTTCTTACCAGCAGAGCTTTAATTTTATTTGGTGCAGGTTGGATTTTCCTATTTCTTATGTATAGAGATGGCTAAGTAATGCAGAACTGGACAATAAATTGTAAGTAGTCACCAGGTGGAGCTCTGGAAGCTTCTTGAACAGCACTGACTGAACTTGAGGTAGCTCTTTAGTTCTGTTCCCGTCTCCTTTTTTGTCCAGAAATAATAGGCATTAAAATGGAGCTCTGGTTAACATGCTGAACCCCAAGATCAAGGCTATACCCTAAAGATGGATTTCTGTTGACTTGGGACCTTCCTGACATTCCTAGGTTATCTAATTAGTTTTAACTGTTGATACTCAAGGTTTTTTTTTTGTTACATGTAGCTGAAGTCAACCCCTGAGATCATATTCAATATGAAAAAAGAGTTGTTCTAGTTCTTTTTGCACGAACATACCTGCCTTTTGTTATTGTTTAAACTTTAAAAGTAATAGCAAAGATTGTGATAAGTAAGAACTGAAAACCACCATACAGGAATATATATATATATAATGGGTTTTGGCATTTTTATTGGCAAACTGTTTAGACGGTCCTAACTTCAGTATGGGGAAAGAGTAGCTAGGGGCCACGGGGCTTCAAGACAATCCAAGCACTGGAAGCTACAAATTCTGTCTCGAAATAAGAGATCTGGAAGCTTAGGAAATTCTTTTATTGCTTTTTGCTCGATTTCTTATCACTGAAATTACTTGTAAAGCTGTTTGTTTATAATAACATCAACTTGCATCAGCTGTTCTAAGGGGAAATAAGGAAGTAGAAAATTGCACATCTTTGGGGAGTGATAGATATTGAAGAGAGAAAAACCTAAGAAAGAGGAAACGAATTCTGCACAAAAGTGGCAGAGCCAGCCCAGGATCCATGTTAACCTGCCTGGAGTTTTCTACCCAGGGGATCTTTTATGCTCCACATTTACAGTATAGATTGTGTATGATGGAAGTAAAGAATTCCATGAGGCATGAATTTTATTAAGCCCTGCCTTTCTGCCTGCACAAATTTAAATATTATTATTTATTCTTTCTAAAACACTTACTTCTAAGCACCTAACATGTGCCAGGTATTGAGTAAATTATAGCAAAGACTTATGCTCAACCTTAAGTGGAACTTGCTACTTTGCTTTTTCATAGCTGCAGACGAAAGCTTAATTTAACAGGTGCACCCTGTACTTTCTAAACACTTTAAAACTTGCTCTGAAAACACAGAGATTAAGTTCCAAGGCCAATTGTAACCATAAATTTAATCATCTATGTATCCTGGGTACAATGGTGGTTTCTTTGAAAGCTAGCCACCACTCAAATTTTCTTAAAAAGAGAAAAAATAACTGATTAAATAAGCCTGAATAAAAGAAATGAATTTCATATTATAGGCACCTAATATAAGACATGTCAGATAATAAAAATACATATTTTATGTAATAGCATCGTGATATGCTAAATATTTATACTGGAACTTTGGGGTTTTATAAAGAAATATCTATGTTTAGTTTTGTGAATATGTTTAACATAATTTAATTATGTATTTTATTATTTTTGTCAAGTTTCCAGGCATATTGTTATTACATCCAGAGGGGCTGGGGGTGTAGAGTTTGTGTTTCCTGGGGCCTGGGCTTAAACAACAGCATGCATGATGAATGGATGATAGGAGATACCTAGATATGTGGATGCATTTATATAGATGATAGATACATGCCAGAGTTATCTAATAATGCATACAATGCGAATCTGGCCTTTTCTCATAGTCTTCGAAGGCTTTGGAGAGAGCTAACCACACACAGAAAAAGACAGCCCCTTTACCGAGAGCTTCAAAACAAATGGAAGAAACCAGAGTTAACAGACACACCAGTGTAACTGGAATTTTAATGAGGTCCAAATGGAGAATCATTAAATTTTAATCAGGCTTATTAGTTGACCCTCGATATTAAGAGTGAAGAATCTCCTGTCCAAGTGGAGACTCGCTTAGCTGCCTTTATCTCGCCATCACTAACTCAGATGATTTATTAACGCCTGCTTCTCAGTCCCTCAACGAGTTTCATTGTTCGGTTTCTTGTGCCCGTTGGCTCATAGGTCTTTCACAATTTTCATTGGTTTCTAAATGCTCCTTAAGTACCAGTTGTGATCAGCCTTTTCGCAGCTAGCGCTTTCGTGAGCATGCCTTAGAATAAGTGAAAAAAAGGAGAGTAAGACGGGACACCCTGATAGCGAGAAGAAAAGGGCCAGAAAGAATTCACCGGGTGCCTGCGTTCCCTGAATGAACCAGCAGGTGGTAGCAATACTTCGTGGGAAGGCCACGGCCCAGGAGGACCTAAACAATAGACCCCCCCCCCCAACCAGTATTGCCTTTAAGAACCGGTTAGGAGTGGGCAGAAATATTTTTCCTGGTTGCAACCCCTCCATTCCGCAGCCCTGCCTCCAGGCACCAACTGAGAGTACCTTCCTCCGCCTCTCATCGCTGTGCCTCTCCTCGCTGTGCGGAGGCTTTCTGCAGAGCGCAGAGCGCGCCAGGGAGGAGGCACCCAGAGGTGCAGGGACTTGCCCAAGCCTTGTCTGAACCAGGCACTGACATCAGACTTCCCCTTCTCCGCCCCAGGCTTCCCTGTACCTTGAGGAGGGTAAATGGAGGGAGGTTTGAGACAGAGGCCCCAACGCTGACCCAGATCCAAAGGGACACGAAGTTGAAGCTGGCACAAGAGGCGTTTTCCTCCCCATCCTCTCTCTCTCTCTCTCTCTCTCTCTCTCTCTCTCTCTCTCTCACTCTCTCTCTCTCTCTCTCTCTCGTCTCTCTCCCCTCGCTCTCCTGCCCTCCCGTACCCCTGAGATTTGTTTCTCCCCCACCTCCTCTCGCCCTTTCCCCTCCTCTGCTCACGCCCACCTTAGTTAGTTCAAACCTGAGTAAAGCCCCCCTGTTTTAGTTCCTAGAGTTAGGGAGGAGGAGGAGAGAGGGAAGAGGGGCGCTGGGCTTGGGCTTCAGCCCTGCCCTGGCATCAGCTGCCCAGCAGTTGCGCTTTGCACGACTCTTGCTGGAGCTCTAGCCTCTGGGTTTTCGATACGCCTGGCAGCAGCTCCCACTGGCGGCCTCCCTCGGGCTCCTCGCGCGTGCCATCCCCTGGGTCCACGTCTTCTCTGTTGGCCAGGACCCGCCGGAGGAGGCCGGTCCTCGCCGGCGCGCGGGCGGGCCCAGGACGCGCCCCGCATCCCCAGTGCGCACCCGGCCAGGGAGCGGGCGCCGCGCACTTGCATCCTAGTCTAGGAGGGCGGGCTCGGCTCCCGGAAGAGGGGAGAGGGAGGGTGGCCGAAGGGGCCGAGAGGGGCGGGCCAGGCTGGGAGGGACGTGGAGGGGGTGGGCCGGGCTGCGCTAGCTCCAGCCAGTGCTCCAGAGCAGCGGGCGTCGGGACCCACGACCGAGCTGGGCGACACCGGCCCCCGCACGATTTCTCCGGGCCCCGCCTCCGGAGCAGCCCTGCCTGCAGCCTCTGGTCCTCCCCAGAATACCAGAGACTCCCGGCGGCGAGTAGCCGCGGGCCTCAGGGGAGCCGGGTCCCTAGACACGAGAGGACGTGCTCGGCGCTGGGAGAGATCTGTGAGCTGCAGGTCCACTGCCGGGCCTCTGGGGCGCAGACCTGCGGAGCTTGATGCCGGAGAGAAGGTGAGCCTGGGATTTGGAAGGTTGGAGGATAGTGTGCCAGGAGACTAAGGGATTAAGATTTGCAAAGTAGATGGTCCCTCTAGCCCGGGCCTATGCATACCCTGGAGGGTGGCGGGGTGGGGGGGGCGCTCCTGGGGGAATGTTGAGTGCTCCTCTCCAAGGCGAGAGCGGGTTCGTCAGGAACTCTCCCTTCCCCGGACCTCATTGATGCAGCCATCCTGGGTGTCAGAATTTCTCCATCACGTTTTCAGCGACGCCCCCCCTTGCCTCTGGCTTGGGGGGGGTGAGGGGGCGCTCCTTATCTCGCAAAGGTCGGGCTCTCAGCGTTCTGAAAAGGTTTGCCCGTCCCTCTGACTCCTATGGCATCTCTCCAATCCCCTTGCTGCTGGGAGGAGCCAGGGGGATGATTTACACCTGCACCCCCCCCCCCCCCCCCATACCCCCCTGAAACCCTGGGGATCGCTGTTTGGATCTTGCGCCCGGGCCTTACGCACACCCCCTCCCACTTGCGCCC